CATTCATACATATACGCGTGCATGCATACATGCATACATACATGAAAACATGCATACATACAAGCATGCATGCTTGCATGCCTGCATACAATCATACATACATACATACATATATATACATACATGTATACATGTATACATGTATACATATATGCATATATACATAATATACATATATACATATATACATCTATACATATATACATATATACACGTATGCATATATACATATATTCATATATAAATATATACATATAGACACGTATACATATATACATATATACATATATACCCGACAGTTATATATATATTGTTTTATGCGTGTGTTTAGTGTGTATGTGTCTGTATATATATATATATGTGTGTGTGTGTGTGTGTGTGTGTCTGTGTCTGTGTGTTTGTCTGTGTCTGTGTGTGTGTCTATGTGTGTGTGTGTGTGTGTGTGTGTCTGTGTCTGTGCGTGGGTGTGTGTGTGCGTGTGTGTGTGTGCGTGCGTGCGCGTGTGTGTGGGCGTGTGTTGCAATAGGTACTCGCAATTGATGGAAAAGGAAGACGTGTAAATACGAAGGAAAATTATTAAAGCGTTCATTCCTACCTCTTCTGTGATTCCTGGTTTAACGCGATCTAGAACTGTATCCCAATCATCGTTCAGTGTGTTATCCACAATTGATGCAGTGAGGAACAACCCGACGATAATTTTGGTCTTGAGAAACCTAATGCCCTTTTTGGGAGCAGGTGCAGCCGGCTTTACTTCTGTTGCCAATCGCCTGACCAATGAAGAAGCATAGATGGGGCTGTAGTGTGAGGTACGGCTTGCCAGCCTAGTGGCCTGACCCAGTCGACTACTGAACATTCTTTGCGATTGTCTGTATGGTTACTGAAGTGTTCACATTTAGGCATGTGTATAGATATAGCGATTGACCATGACTCGAAAACCTAAAATGAACATATATATTTTTTTTCCGCAATAATTTTTACGAACCTAAAAATAGAAAGTCCTACTATGATTTTATCTAATTGGATAATCTGCTTTTCAGTTGAGATTTGTGAGACTTATCACTCGCTTCTTAAGACTCTAGAGACTGAGACGAGACTTGTGTGAGAGTGTTCAGACTGTTAATGTATTTGTTTTTTTGTTTGTTTTTTAAAACAATAGCCTCGGCCCTTGAGGGCGGCTTTAGCCTTCAGACAACAGACAAATTAAAAAATTATATATATCGAAATACCGTCATATTTACATATTATATAAATACAGCAGTGCAGACTGCAGCTATTATTTAAATATGTACTGCAGCGCCATACATATTTAAAAAAAAATGAAATTAAAAAAAATTAAAAATACATTGATCATTTCTGACGCCATATTTAAATAGCCCCCTGCCCCTCTCTCTCTTGTCTTGTAAAAATAGGACTTTTTTTAATAAAAAACCAGAAAAGGAGTGGCTATATTGATATGTATATAAATAAATAAATACAATTGTTGTAAATATGTACATCCACTGTACGTAAATACAAAAAAAAATATATATATATATATTTATATATTTCTATATATATACATACTCTACACACAGAGTCAGAGTCACTACAGTCTACACTCTATTTACACTCTCTACAGTAAGACAGACTACAGAGAGAGAGAGAAACAGACTCTCTCAAGACTCGAGAGAGGTGTCTAATTTTCAGAAGAAGGCTATTTATGACTCTACTACTACTAGAGGGTTTTTCAAAAATAGCCTCCTAAAGATTCGAGAGGGACTTTATTTACACCTCTACGGAGGGTGTTGTATGTAAATAGTACTTTGAGTAAAGAGAGAGAGAGAACTCGTCACTGGTGAGTGGTGACCTAGGTGATGACTCGTCCCGGTCGTCCTACAAATGTACTGTATTTGTCTCTTTTTTTTTTTTTATAACACCCCAATACTATAAAGGGGAGTCGATTATTAAGAACCAAACCTAATTCACTAAATCTAGTTTTGGATATTATCTCAATAATTTTTCTATCCTTTTTTTAGAAACATTTCAAAAGAATTTTGCAAAGGCGCCAAGTTGATAGTTCTATTGATTCATGCAGTTATGTATCGTTGTATGAACAGGTCAACAGGATTGTGCACTTTTCGACCTTGCCAACTCTTGGATTTCCGAGTCGCGTATTAACAGTTTAAACCTCCTAAGGGTTCTCATATATATAAAATATGAAAATTATTAGTTCAGAACCCATTATTGTGGCATAGAGGGCATATTATGCTTTCTCAAAATCGCCATTCACGTGCATGTATGTCAATCAATGACACCCATTTGGTGTGCGTTTTCAAATATATGGCTTCGTTTTGATTTTCAGACCTTCGCTACATTTACATAACCATAATTAAACCATAATAATGCGATTTTAATCGTTTGTGGGTGAATATGTAGTAAACTTTGACAAAAAGTTCAGGAAATGAGATTCATCAAGCAATCGGTGGCATGGCACATCAAATGACGAAAACACTTTTTTTCTCGATTTTAGCAGCTGCAGCTTGCTTTACAGTTTTAAGAAAGCATATACGATACGGTTCGGACAATATTTGTACGTGACAACTTTGAAACTTTACTAATTATGCATATCTAGGCCCAATAATCGCGTTTTGGAGGTTTCTGATGTAGTGTTAGACTCCTAAGCATAGAAGGTGTTCTACTTGTACTACGACCTTGGAGCCTTCGCAGATCATGTACGAAATACTTACTCTTGAAATATGCCAACAACAACAAAAATTGGGAACAAATAGAAATCCGGATTTAGCTGATCAGGAACGCTTCTTAATTTTCGGGATGGGGTGATACAACGCGGCTGAGAAACCGCAGGGACCGAAAGCGTTTAATCATAGGGGTAATTTACTTGGTATATATTCAGACATTTGGGCCTATTAATTATTTTGTATAGGGTCTCAAATGGGCAAAATTTGGGCCTATTTTTGTATAGGGTCTCAAATGGGCAAACCCCATTCCAGCCGGGAAAAAAAAGCGTCACGAACCTTTTTCAGTCGGATTTATATGAATAAGCCGGATTTTTTAGCATCCCCGACGTTTTTTGGCGACGGACAAAAAATCGGTGATAAAGTTGACAGGGAGTCAGGGACTTAGAAAAGCTTACGCTTTCAGTAATAAATAATAATAAAACTGAATATCCCTGCCACGGCGGAGAAAAAAAATCGTCATAGCTTTTTCATTGTATTTTTGCATCATCATTTTATTTATTTTTTAAAAGTACGCAACAAACATTGCTTGAAGTTATTTATACATAGTCCAACAGGTACTTGTTTCCTATATTCTGCACTGTCATATAGTATCGCGTGAGTTGTATCATCGCTTTGCACCAACCATGTTGTCCCAGTTGCGTGCCCTTGGCAGAGCAGCTCCTCGGGCAATGACGCTGTTGAATCGTCAAGGTATGACTTGTTTGCTTGCATCCACAAGGATATCAACTTGTAGTTTCGTTTACTAATGACGTGGACTTCCTTAGCCGTTCTCATCCCGTAGTGTCTTCACTCGTTCTACATATGGTGGCTACCTGCGTACTTTATGTCTTGTAAAAATGTTGGCTTTCGAGTCGCCCACTGAGGGATGCAATGCATAAAGGGCTACGTCACTAGCAGATTGTCCGCTTGTTTCACAGTCTCCCCCGCTCGTAATCTGCAAGATCGGTGTGTGCCGACTAGGCTCCATTGTCCCTTTTTCTATTGGCATCACTCTTACCAGCTTGTAAATTGACAACACATACTAAGAAATTGGGTTAAATTTTTTAGCCTTCAGGCCAGGAATAGGATTCCACACCAGCCAGATCAGCAATAGTGCGAAGGTTATGAAATCTACACTGACATTGGCTACCAGACGAGTATGTTTTGTCGTGTCGTCTTTGTACCGTGTACGCTATGCTAATTTTGATCTTCAATGGTCAACATGCTTAAATTGTATATGGTACTACCGGCTGTAGCTTAGGCCATGGCTTCATTCCTGGTGGTATATGGTTGGGGCGTATTTGAGTGGTTCAAAGAGTGTTCTCGCTCGGTTAAGCTGGTATGCTGCTATTTATTCTTCATCTCGAGACAGTAATATAACATGCATATGGATCGCAATCAACAATCTAGCAGCCCTTTAATTTCACAAGGGAGGAACATTGCGTCGTCGCTGTCCACGTCTATTGTTGTATAGTATTTGGAACATCGATGAGAGTAGTAGTGTATGGTATGAATCTGTATTTGTTTCCTGTGGTTATACTCGCTGGTGTGCGCTTTTAATCTCGGTACTGTAATCAACTATATTTCTTCCCATCGACATGCTTATCGACATCCTTTTTTTGAGCACCAATACTTGTTATTTCTGGTCACCCGTCTTGTTATGTTATGTTGCAATGTATAGAGGTACCTTTACTTTATGATTTGGTTATAAATTAGACCGTATGTATCGTCTAAGATCTATCACTATCATGTGTTACCTCCAGGTTCCCAATGGACAGACTTGGTCCCACTTCTTTCCGAAATGGATAAAACCTCGAACACAACGTATTAACCTGCGTAAGGCATTCGGTGGCGTATCGACTGCGAGTGCTGCTGGAATATCGCTGGGTATGTTTTTGTTGCATTGTATGAGAGGATCGGTGATACAAAATTATGTGAAGATCTACTCATCCTTCTTGCTATAACGATCGCATGCACTATATCGGCACCATATTATCCATTATTGTATGCGTGACCTGTTTTCTGGCACTGTATCAGTGATATTTGCGCATAGAGGTAGGTACTTGAGAAAACCCTGTGTAATAAGTAGGTCTTGCTATCAATTTGGTTTATTACTTTACGTTAAATATAATTAGCGTATTAGCAAATATCTAGAACAGTGTTTTGCAAGAACATTATGTGCATTTATGCTTTTAAATCATTGATAGTAGTCTGTAGTACAGTGCAAGGTGTGTATTTTCTTTACCAATTATTTTGGGGTATTTTAGCATAGATGAGCAATCGTTCCTAGATATGGCTGCATCGAAGCAACACGAACCTTATTTAATGAGTCGCACAGTACGCTTATCAATTCATGTTTGCCATCGAAGGTCTGTCTATCTTCACCGCGCCTGCTATGTGCGAACCATGCCGCGAATCAGTCGAGTCGGCAAAAGCAAGCTACTCGAAGGTAATTTGTTGCGGTTGTCCTGTGAAGTAGTATCATTTGCTAGTTGACATATGAGTGTAGATACTGTCGTTGGTGTGGGTTGATATATTCCACGTCTAGCTACCATAATCAATCACACCGGTATTTTGTGCTAAATAGATTTGGCACAAGCCTCGTTCCCTCGAAGAGATTGTTGCTGTGTACGCGAAGCATACCTCCATGTTGACGCAAGAAGTTGCTGATCTCAAAGTGAACAACGAAAGAATGATTAGTACCCTTTTGCTAAATGAGGCTCGCATCGCTGCCGCCTCTGAAACGGTATGTCGCAATATGAATCTATCGTGAACTTAAGTTCTCATTCGGTGTGTGTATGATTCTTTGCTAATGTAATTACGACGACAATACATGTATATTTCGTAATTCTATCTCGCACGCCCTCATGTAGACCCAAATGCTTCGTGAAGAACTGGAGTCGACTCGGAATCAACACATATCCGACATACATGAGCTGGAGGATGCGAGAATAGCGGTATGTGAGTTGGCTTTCTCAGTATTACTCCTTGTCTATTGTTGGCGCAATCATGTTTGCTTTCACTCAATGTGGGTCGACGCATGTTCTTATCCTGGCCCACCTAGTGAATTGCCTATACCTGCGCCGATCTAACGCACATTATGCGATATCGAAGCTCTTAGTTGTGCTTTGTCAATTTACTCTCCAACTATAGCAGCACTACTTCGTTTATTTTATCAGCTCGCAGAGATGAATGAGAACCTCGATTGGAAGCTTGAAGCGAGCCACACCTGTGTCATATGCATGGAGGATCCGAGAGCTATGAGATTTGACTGTGGACATTTAATAGCGTGTAGAGGATGTACAGACTTGCTAGTAGATAAGGGACATCCTTGCCCAATGTGTCGATCGTCGATCGGCGATCCACTTCCGGTCTTCGTATCTTAGTATACTTTAAAAGAGTCTCGGAACCGAATTTTCATCAACTCGCCGGTAGTATGCCGCCGACGCCGTTAAGGGACACTGATACGAGCCATGTGTGCTTGGTAATTTTTTTTCGAATAGTAACGATTCGGAGAATGTGGTGGGTGTAGTTGTCCAAGTATTTTCCGCCATTATGTAACGACGTTCAGAATGGCAGCGCGGCCACCATACCACGATCTACTCCACGCCGGCTGCCTACTTTTTGTGTAGGAAGCTGGCAGCGTTGTCGGTAGCTCGATTGATGTCCCATAGATATCTTGCTCTTGTTACACCTTGGTTCAAGCCAATAAAGTTCTTGTTCAGTGAGAGTTAGACAAGCGGTATCAGATGACTGTTGATTGATTGTGCAACTCCGTTTCAAGCGTCACATAATAAATTTTATCGTGACTCACTACAGTATGTACATCGTGTCTAGATAACGCTTTGTTGTCGTATATATGCGTCGTATATATGCACATATTGAGGTTGACACTTGGTCTGAGATCACATAATTTAGTTGCGCTTTTAGTGACACACGAGAGAGCATCAAATTAATGTGTTTGTATAACGACTATGTTACCTTTGGACCCCTATGCTATCTAAATGTTCGTCAAGCAGATCTGTATTTGATCATGCCGCCCTTTTTCAAATCTTAGACTACTCAATCAATTACTATTAGCATATATCTACTCGATTGTATCGAATCTGCTACTTCCTAGGGACAATTCTTGAACAATACAAATACTGCCACTATCTGAAGCAAGTAGAAATCTTGTTCTCAGTTTGGTCTTTAGCGGGGAGTTTGACCAGACATCGTTTGTACTGTCCGCGTTTAGATATTCATGTATAGAGGTATAAAAGTACGGCTCATCCGTCTGCTACGCTATACCAGCATGCTGAATGTGTTGGGAGTCTTGTATGCGCCAATATTGATCCTTGTACTATAGAACGATTAATGACGTGTTCCGTACTATTCAGGCTGCGTATTGTCCGCAAGGGCATTTTCGTCAGCCCAAGGACTCCATTAAATGTGCTACGTCGTGTTGCGATTGCTATCCACAAGGTACCTAATATGCGTCTACTTTCTTATTGTGCCCAGAGATACGTCTAAAATTACTTTCAGCTTGACAATTTGATTGGTAATGATCTACTTTCTCCTTCGGCTTATAATGACATCGTTAATAGCTGATGTAATTGAGATACACCGGAAAACCGAAATTTACCCCGATTTATTCACTTAGTCGTTTTTGCATTTCTACTTATTCTTTATTAGTTAGACTGAAAAATTGAAGGACTATTGTGACATTCAAGCCTATACACAACTGTTCTGGCCTTCGACCTGCAGAGAATATGCATGTAAATACACTAAGCAAAACCCTCATCTATTTTACAGAGTAACGCATGCCCACCCCAGATTCCTTCACTAGGTTCGTCCGGAGCGTTATACGGAAGCTGCTTGTTCGTATAGTGGCGAACAGGTCGTTACCCCACGCCACTTATCCATAGCTCTCTCGAACCTTTTGGGATTCATATTTTGTGTCCTGCGAATCAGATTCACCGGAACGTAATCATCTGCTGCAAGGACAAGTTCTCATCATCGTCACGATCCTGATCTCCCATTCGCATCGGCAACGCAAACCCCAGCTCCTCAAGCTCCTGTGGCCACCATACAGAAAATATGACCGTAAATTCGGCTGAACATTTAGTAACTTTCCCACGGTGACCATGTTTGTTGAGTTTGTAGGGTATAGAAACAATATGGTATTTCCTCTATCTCTTTGATAGCCACGTAATATTTATAGTAAATAATAAAAACCTTTGTCTAAAAGGTTCGTTAGAATATTAATTTCATTTTTAATTTGGTTAAATTAACCGCCCTTCCCTCCCTCCCCCTGCGCCACCTCTAAGTCAGGAATACAGTATCGCGTATACACCACCGTGGTGAAAGAGTGAGAGAGAAAGCGGGATGTGGTTTACAATCTAAAGTAGTAAGGTACGTAAGTACTTAATACTTTTAGCTAAAAATCGCCTACCAACCGGATCACACTTTTGAACAATTGTTGTTTTTGAACCTGTCATAGCACCAATACTTCGCGAGTTGTAGACATGCACGTAATAGTGGGTAGGTCAGTTTTGGGATATCTTAGAATTACGATTATGTTGTGCTATCAACGTCTTGGAAGGGTCTAAACGCGATATACAATGTTTATTAGGGGTCTAGTATCACCGTATATACCCATAGTAGCATATAACATGGATAAAAGGTCGACGTGTGCCGGAATGGTGTCATGCGATTCAGATGATGCATGCATTGAATTAGGGGTTTTTGGAGTTTTATAGCATTATGGCGGCCTGTAATTGCGCACCGCAGGATGTTTGTGATGAGTGTATATGCACTCATAAGCGTGGGCGATGCTCAACGTGTGGCAGTGCGTGTAATATGTGCAAGTGTGCTTGCAGCGGGTTGATTGGCTCTTGAAAACGTGGTCGTCAGAAGGGATCAACTAAAGTAGTCGGCGAGGTGTAGTGTGTATCATCAGGCCGTTCGTCAGCTAATAGAGCACGTTTAGATATTGCTGAGAATATCCGTGCACTTGATACCCCAGCACGCAATACGAGTGCGCTAACTGAGACGTATACACATACAGAAAGTAGAAACATTGTCACAATTAGCTCTAATGAAACCGCCCGCATAAACACAATAGCAGATATCTGTAACTCTAGAAAGGCACTTCCCAGTGCAGATTTACGTACGCATAACACGGAACTGCAGACAACACATCCGCACGGATGGAGCTGTGTGTGTCTCAAATCGTGCCTAAGGCGTCAAAACGTATAGCGAATATAGTATATCCAGCAGACACGAACGCTTTGTTGAGCGATGTTGCTACTTTGCTAGGTGTTAGTGAGAATGCGTCTGCAGACCCTAACAAAACCGTAGGTGAACGATTATTAAATAGTCTTGTAGATGTATATATTAGAGCGCCCAAGAACTCCTTGCAAAGGTGGGTTACTCGGGCCATACAAGTGAAAGCACTCACTAGGCAAGAAATAGATCGTTTGAAGCAGTGTGGCGAACTGACCTTATTGGGATCATCACGGGATGTAAGCTATGGAGACTGGACTACGAATACTGCTGGTGATGCTCTAGGTGTCGTAAAATACAGCGGAGCAAGATTTAGCGAAGCACGCCTAGAAGTTGCTATTAAGTTCGTGCTTTCGGAAAAAAATGTATGTCGAATATCATGGGGTACAAAGTATATAAGGGTTGGACCTGACGAAGTTATAGCATTGCCTGCGCTCACACGCCGTAAACCTGCAGAGGTCCTATATAAGAACTACCTAGTGTCGGTTGACGAAGATGATCACATAGGCAAGACTAGTTTCATGAAGGTAGTATTCTCTATTACCAACAATGATGAGAAGATTATAAAAGCGGTGGACTAGGTAACGGAATGTCTAGTAACGGATGTTGTGGATATGATGCAAACCATAATAGAGGACTTCGCCGAAGACCCAACAGAGCGCTCGCGGCTAGCAAACTTAGTGGACCTCGGCAAGACGTTTATCAAACAACAATTAGATCACCACGTAATCAAGGAGAATATGGTTAACACACACGGACTAGAGTATGCACTTACGAACCCGGACAAAAATGTACCTATAAAAGATGGTGAGTGCAATGGATGCATATTTTTGCCCTGGGTAGTCTCCCAAATAAAGGGAACGGTGAGGCGGAGCACTTTTGGTGGTGCCGATGTCCAGCAAGATGCCTGGGATGTATTAAAGGTGTGCCACGATAAGTAGGAGATCTACACGGGTCATCGCACCAGAGTCAAAAACCAGCAATATCACTATGATGAGATACTCGAGGACAAGCATGATTGTTGCCTACAGAATAAAGGCAGTATAGAACTCTTCACGCTCATAGACTAGAAGATAAATTCAACCCCATTTCATCTAGAGAAGCAACTCACGAGCACTATGGACAACGTGGCATGGGTTGGCATGGGTGTAGGACAATGTACTTTGACTACAAAGAGTGGGAAGAAGAATATGACAACGGAGAGATGATACAATATCATGGAGCAATACGCCATATTGTGTATGGTGACCAAACATTGGAAGGGGATAATAGCAGGATTCTTCGTGTGTGTATTCGATGGTAGTGGCATATCTTTACGCCATCAAAGAACGTCTGCCACGTACTAAAACCACTGCGCTTGCATCCGATAATGCCGGATGTTATTCATAGATGCATATTTCGCACGAGGCGAGGTCACGTATCGAACTTCATGAAATCTTCAAAGCGCAACAGGATTAAAAAGATAGCAACGCCGAAAGGATTAGCGGCCGCATTGGCATGGAAAGGAGGTGTTGACCGTTCGTGCAAATAGTAACGATCGATCGACAAGGACGATTGACCACATTTTCGGAAAGAACTAAAAAAAATAGTAGAGTCGGGCTTTTTAAGTTCTTTACTCGGGCTAATGATATAATCTTTGAGGTAGTGGAATGTCCATTGGAAGCAGATGATAAGTTAGATCTTGATAAGATCCTTGACAGCGACAAAGTACTGTATCTGCGTGCGTTTGCTTATTCTGGTGTTGGCGCTGGTATGCTGTTCCGGGTTAGTTTCAAAGACGAAACTTTTACCGTCGTCGATGAACCTGGAGATACGAGAAATGATGAGATTGGTGATGGTATCAGTGACGATATATTGAATGAGAAGGTAGGAGGTGATGGTATCAGTGACGATATAGTGAACGAGAAGGTAGGAGGTGAATTTGGCAAGAAGAGGGCCCCATCCGCAGCGGTATAACCCCTTGAGCTCTGTGAAGATGAATTTACCGACGATATTGAACATATCTTTAAATGATTTAAAGGGCCGCTGCCGCCAATGAAGAAGGTTACTTCGGTTCTGCAGGAGTCTGGGCAGCCAGATTATGTAATGGATAATGAGGCGGTACACGAGGAATCGAATGAATCAGATATAGATCTAGAGCTAGAACTCGAAAGCGAAATCGCTGCTGAACTACACGTTGAAAAGGCTACGGAGCTTGAGGTCCACGATGATGCTGATACTGCCGAGGAGCTTGTCGGCTATGGACCTGGGAATCCTGATAAGGGTGTAAAGCGATTGTCATATGTTTGTGTCCTCAAACAATCAAAGCTCGGGATTATCTTAGGTCCGCGCGACCACCTACGTGAAAAACGTGTATGCGGACCTTACCAAGGCGTGAGGAATCGTATCGATATACTCGCCACTGCTGTACGATCGGCGAATAACCTCATCTCTTTCCATGCTGTAGCTATGTGCGATGGGAGTCAGTAGTTTCCTGAGATTGACCTCACGGAGGACTTTCACTCAAAGAAACACGCACAAGGTTGGGCAAAACGCAGGCCGCATGACGAATATTCTGGAGAGTTGTTTATAAAAAAGTATGTAGACGATATAAATGACATGTTTTGGAAGGGAGAGGCCGACTCCTCACTTAAAATGCAGTCGGGATCTATGCTTGCACAATTAAAGGTGATGTATCCTGGGTGTTATTCACTTCCCAACGAGATGGATATAAGGACGCAAATATCTACTTTGATGTAGTCAAAGAAAGGTGCCGAGGCTAAGCGTAAGAAAGAGGTAGAAGAAACTAACAAAGAAGCCTTGGTAAGAGCTGAAGCTGCAACCAGAGGTGAAGAGTACGTCCTCACCGCCAAGAAGTCGCGTTAGGAAACTGAGAAATTCCCTAAACTATATCAGAAAGACTTGCATGATATAATCGACGAGGATATTGCGATCAAATGGCAAGACGTAATACCTCGGTTAAAAGCAAAGTATGCTAAGGACGATGGGAGTATTCCTGAAGACTGGCTAACAGATTACAAAATCAAGAGCAAGATTACTTACTGTAGGACCAAGGCGAAAAAGTCTAACCTTCGGTCCATGTTATAGTATACATGTGCACCAACATCTAATGTGGGAGGACAGTAATAAGTTGAATAATGTTCTCACAAACTTATAATAACAGACCATTC